TAAAGAAAGAAGAAGCTGGGGCGGGCGGGCGGGAGCGCCGCTCCGTGCAAACACGCGCACGCGGGCAGCGGCACAAGTAAAGCATGCCCCCGCCGGAGCCGGAGCCGGAGCCGGAGCCGCGCAGGATGGAGAGGAGTCGCTGCAGGGGGAGAGAGGCCGCGCCGTGAGCAGGGCTGTCCCGGCCCTGGGGAGTTACTAGCTGGGACTCAAAACTCTTGGGATACAATGAAGTGACTCTGGGACTCTTGGTTTAGCAGGAAAAATTAAATAAAGCAATGTAAGTTTCTCTTTTTCGTTTGTTTGCTGGTAACCCGAGGGAGGAATATATATATATATAGATATAAAAATCCAAGCACGTTGGTTGGGGGCAGGACGGCTGGGCTTGAGCCCTTCCCTGCTTGGGAAGCCAAACTTGGCCCTGGAGGTGTGTGGCTTGTGGCAGGAGAGTTAGGAGCGATGAAACCGCCTGTAGCCCTGTCCCCTCCGCTCTTCTTCCTGGCTGTTTTGTGCCACGCCGTTTGTGCGGGGTTGAGTTGGGCTGCTGAATATCGTGTAACGTGAAAGAGAGGGAAGTTGGATCCGCACGGCTTTTGCTGGGGTAGGAAAGCTGTGGCTTTGCTAGCGAAGGGCGACTTTTTTGCCCCCTTTACTGAGTTACGGTCGGACTTACCTCCAGGTCCGAAAACCCCCCCCGCCGTAACAAATCGGAAAAATCTGAAAATATTTCTGCCCGTGGAACGGCTGCCGCGTTCGGCCAGACATTAAAGAGCCCAGCGGTGAATCAGAAATTAAAAAACGAAACAAAAAGGATATTTGTTGGACAGCGGGGAAAATGTATCATATTGATTTGTCATAAGAATAAGCCCAGTATTGATCTGATTTGTCATAGCAATTAACAGGCAAGATGTATATATTAGTAATACCATTAACCCCCCCAAACCAGGCTGCAAAATACCCATCTTTAAAATATCTGGAACATAGACGTTCAAATTAAGGTCTGTGTTATAATATATGGTATGATAATAATATTATACAGGCTTATTATAATAATGCAGGCTTATAATGTTATAAGCTCACAAAATTAAATAAAGACACAGAAAGACCTGGGGAATTGTGCCTGCAATGATCTTGATTTTATCAAGACAGCCCAGAGGGTCAATTTGTCGTACAAGGAGCAGTGCTACAGGGAACGAAAGATAAATTAAAGCAAAACTTATGCAGCCAAACTGTGACTGCAAAGGGAATAAATCTGATTTTTCTTTGGGATTTGGGTGGGGAAGTGGGATTGTGCTTCTAAAAACAAATGGGTGTACGCATGCCCATGCACACAGACACATACATCAACAGGTCTTCATTTGCCCAGAAGGGAAAAATGAAGTTGCTATTTGGGGCTTGAGGCAAACCTTTCCTGGGGTCATTGAGGGAAATGTTTGAATCCCACGGAGGGGAGGTATGTTCAGGACTAGAGGTCCCTATTTGCCTTTCCGCATGGGGCAATGAGTAACTCTTCCAAAAGACAGAGCATCTAGTGGAATAAATGCTGTGTGCAATCCAAAGAGGATTTGTCAATACTAAAAATAAACAGGCCCTTAGATGTGTCCAAAAGGCTCGTGTCCAGTTTCAACATTTTCAGGCCTGATTTACTGATTGTCTTCTTTTCCCCCTCCCTGTCTCTGTCTTGTCCAAGGTGCTGAAGTTCATTTTGCTGACATTTAACCGGATTTAAGTGATTTTGTTAAAACAGAATGATTTGGGATGAAGGGTAACTTCTGGAGTAGCCGGGAGAAGAAACAGGGATGTGGTTTCAGACACGTGTATTTGATCCTTAATTTTGGCCTGGGAAAGCAGGGCAGGTGGAGACACAGATGGAAGTGGCAGATCCTATAAGCTTTTGGTGGCAGAGAGTCTGAAAGGTCAGAGCAGCTAGGAAGTGTGTGTGTGTGTGTGTGTGTGTGTGTGTGCGCGGGTGTCCACTTAGTTTAATGGGCCAAGAGGATAGTGCATATGAAGATGGTGCGCTGAGGATGATTTCAGGTATGCTGTGCCAAAAAATATAAGCTGATTCCAGGAAAGTTGGGAGAAAACTGTCAGTATGAGATGGGAGAGATGACTGTGGATTTGGGAAGAATCTCTTTCTGTCTAGCTTTTACAAATAGCCAGCTTTAGAAATATAGTGGGGGGGAATACCCCGTTTCTTTAGGGAAGTGGCTCAGTAAGGAAGTAATTTTCATGTTGGCCTGTGGTACAAGTTTTGTTATTTTTAGATTTACACATCAAAAGGTTTCAGCCTTAAGTAGTTAAGTTTATGTAAGTCTTTGTGTGCGACTGATCAAAGTTAATGCAGAGAATATTCCTACATGAATGTGACATTGAACTTACACATCACTGGGGAGCCCGTCTGCGGTGTGTGTTTCTCTTTGGTTCTTGATGTCTATCCTCCAGCAGATCATTATCCAACCTCGCACTTCTATAGCACCTGCCATTTAAGGATTTCAAAGCACGTAAGAATCAGATCGTACCACCCTTTTTAGCATGGAAAAGTATTTCTTTTTCTCTGAGGGTCTCACTGATTTAAGGCACACAACAACTCTGCAGGAGAAAGAGCTGCTGACACCCTCTATTTTGGACAAAGAAAAACCGAGGCACGAAGAAGTTAAGTAGTTTGCCAAGATCACAAAGGAAATCACCCAGGGCATCACCAGGGCATAACTTCACTCTCAGCACTGTGCTTTAACATTACAGCTTCCTCATACCAAACTATGGCTTTTCATTTAGGAGAAAAAAAATCCCTTGCAAATGTTAAAAACATTGTATTTCTAACTTATAACAAGCTGGCCCCTGTATCTGCTGGGTGAGAGAACTGCAGAGCCTGCTAGACACCTTTGCAAATAATTGAGTGCTGCAGGAATTGTACATTTGCAGTATTGTAGTATATATTTTATAAAGACTTAGTTTCAAAATTTTGCCTAAGAATTTTTTTTTGTTTTAACCCATAGGAGAGAAAAGACTTAAAAAATGTAGCTAGCTTCTATTTTAAAAAAATCCCCAAAAACAGCTTATTTATTGTGTTAAAAGTGGATCAATACCTCCTTATTTCTTAGCATGTTCCATTCAGTTTCCTGAATAAAAGATCAACATACGTGTAAGAAGAAAGAGCATTTCAGGCACAACCTTAAAGGGACATTGCTAAGTTTTATAATTCTGGTTATGTTACATGCCTTCATGTTTTAAAATACCTATAAAGTGGCCTTTTGTCAGAGGTGGGGTTCTCTGTATTTCCTGTACTCAAAAAAAAAAAATATTCATCATATTTAAAAATCATGGCTCCAATAATAAAAAAGAAAGAAATAGAAAATATCCCACTTATTTTACACAGGACTCATTGAGGTCCAGATTTAACAGAGCGTTTCAGTATATGTACACTTGGAGTAAGAGCTTATGTACTCTGCTGAATCAGCCCCTTAGCTATTAAACTGATAATGTGAACAGATTTATATTTTAAAAGTTTCTACTGTCCTATTTGTTTTCACATTGGAATCTAAAGAAAATACAGAAAGTAATATAGTTTTGTTCATATTAACTTCTAGTTGCTCTCACTTTCGTGTTCTCGTATCCTAGCACAAGAATGTAAACTTTGGTGGCAAACAGTGTAAAAAAAACATATTTTTGGTTTTGTTTGTTTAAATAGCTCTGCTTCTTTCACAGAAAAATGGAGACACTTCTATTGATCTTGGTTTATTTTTTCTATTTTCAAAACCCAAACTGTAGACCCATTTTGACCTGAGAGTGTCTCTTTAGGTTTTATCTTGCAAAGTTATCGTTTCTAAATCAGGTTGAAAACCAGGTCACATTTCTGGCTCTATAAGTTTTTTCTCCTTTCTGTTCTTTCTAACTAATTAGAGTCAGTAATAAGGAGGGATAGAAAATTCTTCCATAACTGGAATGTCCCTAACCTCTCTTGCCTTTGTGTTGTATTTGTGTCACAGAATCGACACAGGCCACGTATTAGTGGGCCAGGTGGAGCCCATTTGTGCTGTCTTGTAGGCAGTGGTTACCATTAAGTTTCGGTGCAGCTGCCATAGACACCTTTGCAAATATGCCTATTTTTATATTGTGTTAGCTCAGTATTTCCTAATCCTTCTCCGGTGAACAGGTTTCTAACTGCACATATGACGGTGAAATTGTTTAGGGCCAGCTTTATGCCTTGCTCAGAGGCAGCCATGCAGTGGTCTAAGATCTCACTATACACAGGCTTCTCAGCTCAGATCCCCGAGGGAGGAACAGGGACTATGCACCTCATCATTACAATCTCTCCCCTCCAAACAAATTAGCCAAAGGAGGGCAGAGTGGAGCAAGACAGCCAGGGCCTGGGTGACAATTTGGGGACCGGGAAGAATTTTGACTCTTACTTGACTTCTTAGGGGAAGGGAAAAGCTGAGGACTGGCTTGTGCCTATCTAAGAGCTTTGTTCTGCTATTCTCCTTCACCTTATGTCTCTAGCCCCTGTGCATTGTGCGCACAATGCTTTTTAAACAGGATTCAAAACATAGTGGTTTTGTTAGACAAATTATGCGCACCATATATTAAGATCACTATTTATTTGCACCTCCTCTTGATGATCTTCATTGCTTACAGCCAAATAATGGTTGATCTCCAATGACTGAATTAGGAGGCAATGAAAGAACCACGCAACGTTTCCTCTTGCCAACGTATCCACTTTGAATATACCTTAACTTAACTCTATATTTAGATATCCTTACCTCATAAACCCTTTGTGCACAAAGCTCCCATTGATGTTACAGGTTTCCTCAACTTTAATGGTAGAAACATACCACCGCAATGGTCAAATGCAGATTATAGTCTTTTATGTCTCAAATATTCTTAACAAAACACAGTTTTTCCCTTTTACCATTATACTACACAAGCCTTTTTAATCTAGAAATGTCACACAGCAAATAATTAAAGAGCCCCCAGATGCTTGTTTAAATTGACATACGTTCTTTGTTAAGACTGAAGTGACCCCTTTAACCCGACCCTTCAAAAATTATTAAAATCATTATTTGTGAAAGCAGTAATAACAATTATTACTGTGCTGAACTATTTATCTCAGTTTCCAGTCACATTGAACTTTTGTTGTTTCACTAACAAACTCCTCTGTTGAAAATGCTGATGCGACCCGAGCTGTAACAGGGCTAGACAGCATTGCCAGCGTGTTCCTGAATTTTTCTGAAGAGTGCTCGAATGATTCTGCTCGAAACAGTCTCTAAATCCAGGTTG